GTTCGCTTTAGAGCACACTATTGATTGCACAAATCCCCATGAAACTTGAAACAGTGGCAGTCAAATGAAAAGTGACATTGCTGGAAGACTTAGGGTGGACATACTGTACGACATGAGAATTTTAATAGGATAAGCTCAGAATAGACTCTCCTACACATATTTTGGTGAGAAAACCCCATTTCACAGTTTTCTCAGGTACTTTCTCTGAGCTCTCAAACTAGAATATTTGAGTGAAACAGCAACTTTATATTTATTTCAAGAGCTCTTGTAGTGCGTCCACCCATAGCAAAACTTCAAATTGGAATAAAAAAAGGTTTAAATGGTTGAGGTGGGAAGAGGTACACGAATGACTTAAAAACACATGGCTCAGTTTGATGCACTGAAGCCGGACACAACAGCCACAATTGTCATGTAGTTTTCTTCAAAGAACAAACTGAAGGAACCTATGAAGCAAGAAAAGCTAATTTATAAAGAAAAAGCTATTTCCAGATGCCAGAATTGTTGAGTAAGTACATTTTCGCTGCAATGAAATATATGTACAAATCTAAATGAGTCAGCACTGAACTAAGGTCAGAGTAACGTTACACTTAATGTCTCATCAACTAATCAATAAGTCAAAATGACACAAAGTCAATCAATTGTTTAATACATGGATCAGTGATTGTCAGGTGAGGAAACTTACATATTTTAACTGCTGATATTTTGAATTATGTTTTGCCAGTGTTAGTGTTATTAAACTTATCATTATATATAATATACTATGAGGAACTTATTTTCGTTTAATAAAACCATGTTATTACATTATTCATTACTATAAAATGATGACTGTGTAAACCCATATTTACAGCTATTAAGAAGTATAACAGTATATATCTCAGATAAATAACTGGAGATATAAGTCATTGATCATCACCTTGCTTCATTCAGTATTCATATCAGCATAAACACTGGGTCATGAGAAGGGGCAAGAGTGAAATATACCTCATTTTTATACTGTTTTAGTTGAGTAACCGTGTAATTCATCATGGAGAAAGTGTAAACTTACTGTACTTTACTGTGATTTTTATTGCTACCCTACTTTAGCTGGGTATTATAAAGGATGGAGAAACAATAACTTGAATATTCAGCACTTTCAGTTCTGTACCATATCTAGACATTTATTTATAGTTTTGCCTTTACTCTCTCTGTTCTTTTGTCCACACCCAGGTCTACCTATTCCAAGAAGATGTATGTGTCTTTTCAAAGAAGCTTTGGGAGAACTTTGCTGGGAAGTATTGTTATTGAGTAAGTACTGGAAAGAGTAAACGCAGGAGCAAACAGCATCATTTTTATTTTATCTATCTATTTATATATATATATATATATACTTTTTTTTGTCTTTGCTGCATCAGTAAGGCAACTGCAGGAGCTGTTGGGAGCCTCTGACTCCATTAATAACTTGTGCAGTGGGGACCTATTATGCAAGTCCTGAAACCTGAGAGCCAGTCACCTGTTCTGCTACCTGAGCCTGGGCTCTAGGGACGGAGGAGAAGAGAAGAAGGGTATACAGCCTCATTGAGCTGCCTGCCCGCAGGACTAAACTCATATGGATAAGGCCTTGGGTACTGCTGGAAGCTCCAGAGATCCCTGGTGGGTGTTTTTAACCAGCATAACTAAACCTGAGGCGTGTGGAGGGGAATGAATAGACTTAGAAATATCAAGATCCACTGAAGTGTGTCCACTGTTAAATTTCAACCAAGGACACCAGCTCGCCTTCTCTTTCATTTTAATCAGCTCTTAACTTCCCAGGCAGCTAACATACGCTTACAGGGTAATTTGTATCAACATATTGACTCAGTTGATGAGTTGTGCTTTGCTCCTTGATCCCCTGTCAGCTGAAAGGAGTTTTCACTGGGGCTTGTGAAAAGACCTCAGAGTGCTCTCAGCTACTGGGTAACTGCAGGAATGTGTTGTACTCCCGGCTGAGTGCAGGAGAGCTCGCACTGTGGCTGATATATCTGTTCCAAAAAGAGGAGCAACAGTTGATGCCTTGGCCTTGTCGCTCTGCTTTATCAGGTAAGAAGGTGCCACAATATTTGTTATCAGGGTTGGACAGTAGATTATGTCAATAGATTATGCTTATTTTTTTTTCTCTGTAATAATTTGGCAAGACAAACATGACGACAATGATATAATATACTGTATGTACATCTAAAAATAATAAATGTTAGGGTATAATGTTAGGACAATAATAATGGCAAAGGTATATGAATACCAGTTATTTTGGACATTATGTTCACAGGCAGTATCAATATAAAACCAAAACCAAGCTGCAGACTTTTCAGCACCAGTTAGTTCATAAATACTCTAACATTAATAGTCTGTTCTTGCTGTTTCAGGTGGGGATAAATGTTGAATATCTTTGTATAACTTGTATGTTTTCCTACTGTGAATTCAAACAGATTATGGCCCATGTGACCACATTCCAGTGACCCACAGTCAAGACCATTACAGCACGCTTGACTCAGTCTGACAAATTTCTCCAATACAGAAACCCAGTATGTAACTGCTGCAGATAGTAATAAGGAGCATGTGTGTCATCTTTATAGTCCATGTTTTAACTGACCAATTACAATGTGTGTTCAGAAAGTAATTTGCATCAACGTTTGAAACTGAAATATAAAGGTAATATTCCTCATACAAGAGGCAAATTCAATTCATTAGGTGACTCCTGTAGGTTAGGTTTCTTTTCATTAAAGAATTGTTGAACGGGGGTACAAAGGACAGTGTGCAGAGAAATGAAAGACATTGTGAGCATAAAGCAAAATGCCCAGATAATAAGACTATAGTCCATGACAAAAATAACCTCAGCTCACACCAGCACGTATGACACATCTGAATACAAGCATTTTGTCCCAAAGCTCCCTCAGTGAGCCTTGTTTCGACACTGGCTGTGCTGATGGGTTTATCTCTCATATACCCACAGCTCTGCACAGCCAGCCTGCTTACTAACCAGCTGCAGGTCCCATGGCTTCCCTCTCTGTTCCTGGCACTGTCAGGAGCACAAAGGTTTACTCAATCACTGGTTTCCATGCATGCAACAATAAACATATGGCCAGATCAGCCAAGTAAAAACCCTGTCCGCTCTTTGTGTGCTGTCACTCTATCTGTCTCTCTCACAATTCCCACTCTGTTGCGATTTTTTTCCTCTCATACTCATCCTCTTGCATATTTTTCTCTGTCTCTCACAGACCTGTAAGTTGGTGCATAAGGTTTACTTTTATAGGCTTTATTCTATTTTTTATGTCAACAAATTCCAAGACAAGACCAAAAGCAGCAATGCGTCTTTCTTTTAATACTCTCCGAGTTCCCCTCCCTGTCGAGACCCAAGCCCATTCATTCAATGGCATAAATATATTTTTTAAAGGGCCACAAATACATACATGACTTGCATGACCGTGACTTAAATTATAATATTTTCCTATTACAGTAAGGTGTTCACCACAAATCTCTGTAACAGCTTTGGTGCTCCTTAGCATTTGACATGTCTCTGAACTCTACTGGAGGGATGAACACAATTCCTCCAACAGATATTTTTGTGTTTTGATGATAGTGGTATAGAGAGCTATTTAACACCCAAATGTATTCAGTAGCTGATGATTTTACTTTTCTTTTTTGTATTTAAACAATACAGAAGCATCTGCTTTCAGTATGTTTTCTTGCTCTGGTTTATCCTTGAATTTGTTGCACATCTGTATGTCTATATTTTATACATTAATATAGACTAACCTTTATACACTATTCATATATGCACATACAATACATGCATATTTACTTATATATATGAGTATATTCGTTTGCACACTGTACATACTATATATATATATATATATATACTATATATACTATAGCATATCTGCTGTTTGATGTTAAATAAGTGTTTTAGCTGAAAGACTGTTTTCACCCTCAGTTTCATTGTTCATAGATATTTTTTCTGATTCCTTATTTTAAGCCAAACGTCCTTCAGGTTCCTTTCTCCCACACAATACAAACTCCTATCCAACCCTCTTTTGTAGAGTGCAATATTATAAAACTTGCTGTTGTTCCTCCAATTACACTTGCTGGCTGGGCAAAAATAAATCAAAGGAAAAATGGGGTGAAACTGTGAATGTATAAACTTCTATTTCAGTGTTGTTGTTCAAGCCCGCATTCCTGTCCCATGTGACTCACCTCAAAGTGGAGCACACAGGGTAAACATAATTACTTTTCTTGTATTATATACACTGTACCATTCATGCAAACATCTTAACAGGCCAACGACATGACTTCAATTTGCAAGGTCTCACTGTGACATTGTATAAAACAGAATGAATTGCTCTGTATGCATGACAAGTTTATTTAAACAGTAAATTGTCCCTCCATTTGTTATAATCTCAGTTTTATTGACTGCAATAGCTACACTGGGCTTTATACCAGCTGAATTGAGAGCAGCGCACTTGGTGTATCATGATTATAAAAACTGAATTATACTGAGTGGTGAATAAAATGAGTCGATAAGCCCCTTCCTATGTCTTCAGAAACAATAGGCCTAAACATTTAAGCTATTGTTTGGTGTTAAGGAATTATCCAAAATGTGCCAGGCAAGCAGGACAGATAACCATGTTAGGAGAGTCATCGTCAGCTGAGCTGAGAAGCAGAGAGGCAGAGAGAGAGATTTTTCTTTTGGGTGCTGATAGGTGGGAATGAACATGGCTCTAAGCATGGAATAAATGATGGAATGATAAAGTGAAGTGAATAATGTGATATTGAAGTATTAGCAGAAAGACTATTTTCAGTGACAAGATAGCTGCAGTTTTGTGATGAGTAGGTAAGTCTGATAATTGTGTTTCAAGTTGAGTATGTCTTTGAAGTGCACTTCCTTTTTATGTCATGTATGGTGTGTGCAGCCTAGTTAAAATCTTAAGGTGCTAAGCAATAATGTACAATTATTTCTTTTTATGTTGTAAACTGACAGATGAAAAAGCAGAAGACAACTGGTTGATGTCCGTGGGTTTCCACAGTTGGACACTTCCAAGCGTATCAACACCTATCAATGAGGTAAACAGGTTGCACTTATCTGCTTACATAAGGTCTTATGGCATAGAAAGTTAGTAAACACTGTTTCTGCAGATACTGAGTGGATACACTGCTGCACTCAGTTCACTTATGTTATTCGTTACTTGAAGATGCAAATGTTTTTGCCTCAAGGAAGAAGACATTCTAATTTTTACATTTTCTGAGAATGCTTGTTGAACAAATTGCTTTTTGAACTGATTGTTGTTATGTATATTTCAGCCAGAAATCTTTTTCACTGTCATCACTGTCAACTAAAAATACAAATAATACAAATTATGTAAAAACTGTATGTCTGAATATGCTACAAAATACTGTCTCTTCCATAATTATATGATGTTTGATCTCTGACTTCCATCACTCCGGTTTACATTCAAGCAAGAGACAAAATTACTCACTAAGCCAAATTATGTTTGCGTAAAACTCTCCTGATATTTGGGTCTTGGGAATGTGAGCCAACACAAGAGCTGTTTGAGGAAGATGTTTAATTGTTTGCCCTTCAAACAAGGAGAAAGGGAAAATGTAAACCAACAAGATATCCTGTGAACAAAAGCAGCAGGAAAGTATGTTTAATTCAATATTTGTATCTAGTATCTACTGTGTGTTCAAAGTTTGATTTTATTTAATTTTATTCTGATTTGAAAAATCAAAATAGTAGACTGGTAGTGTTTTTTTTTTTGAGAAGACAAATCTGGATTGTTCATTTTGAATGTCATAGATAATTTGTCCCCAAGTGCTGCCCATCAAGTTACACATTGTCATGGCAACAGCAATAGATCAAGAAACAAGTCAAGCAGGAGAGCCGATAACAAGTCCTTCTAACCACATCACAGCGGCTAATATCTTTGTATTTGCACTCTTTCTTGGTTTCGTTGGAGTTACAGAATCTTTAAGTTTGCATAGGATTCAATTGCACACTTTGAGCACAACACTGATATGAAGCTTTTTCTCTTTTCTCTGTCTTTTCATAGGCCTCAAGTAAGGATATCACTGCTTCACTGCACAGGAATGTCCTGTCACGGGCTATGTGGTGGGGGCAAGAGGAGAAGGAGAGTGTGTCCCTTAAAGCAATAACACACGCTGCCTGCTCTCAGACTGCAGATAGTGGAACTTACAGTGGCGCTTCCAACCTGTTCAGGACTGCAAGTGTCCCAGATGTGGTGGGAAGGAGTCCAAAGCCAGCTTTTTCTTCCATTACCATTACAGCTCGGAAGGTTTTGCCATCACGTTCCACCTCACAGGACCCTGTGTATCCATCCACACTAACACAGCATGTGAAGGTATCACCTCAACCAAAACTATCAGGAACTTTTGGAGGAAAAGCCTCATCCATACCCACGAGAACAATGAGAGTGTCAAACTCTCAACTGGATGTGTGCAGACAGAAACCTACGATTGTGATGCCAAATGAGGTCAGACAGGCCTACTCATCAGCTGATGGATTGGCAGTGAGAGATCGAGGAAAGAGGAAAGAACAACTTGTACAACGCAGACTGAGCTACACAGAGGTCGACAGAAAGTGGGACGTGATAGGTGGCTCATTATTGAACCTGTCCTCACAGCCTTCCTACCGGTCGTGTATCCATCTTGAGGTGCCTCTGAGGTCAACTAGCTCTGTTGTGTTTTTGGACAAGTCCCTCTCTATTTCCCTTGTGGAACTAGAAGGAAGAAGTGCAGGTCAACCCACTTCGTACAGGTCCACCCTGTCTGTTCGCCTTGGTGTCTTATCCTGCCGCAGATCCTCTACAGATAACAAACCAGCAAAAACAAATGAGGGTTACAGGAGACCTAGAGCAGGCCATAACAAACGCAATGGTCGAGAAAGTGGTTTGGGTCATTGTGGAGGCCCTCTATCAAAGCATCGGGGCCGCAAGGTCGAGCAAATAGCACCCGCTCATGGTGTTAACAGCAATGCTGATGATTCAGACACACAGCGCCACAGCAATACTTTGGGATTATTGTCATTCAGAGGGCCCAGCCCCTCAAACACAAAGGCTGGAAGGCAGAAGGGGAATGCAGATGAGGCAGCCTTTCCTTCACGGAGCAATTTCAGACACAGGCAGCACACTTCCAATATAGGCCCAGGTATGAATTTCATCACTTTGCTTCAGAAGTGAAAATCTAAAGGACCCACACCAATTGATCTGTATATTCCTTTTAGTGACCAATATATTCTTAAGCTGTTGTAGATAAGATCACATTTCCGAGGCGTACCAGCAATCTGAATGTGGTGCCAAGGTGGTCTTAGTTAAAGTTTCATTTGTTTCACTCTCACTTTTTGATTTATACACCATGCATTGTTAATAGAACCACACCCACCCACCACACTTCTCTCACTGTACATTCACACTCTTTAAAATAAATCCCAACTGGTATATATACACTCAGTCCAGCTGTAGACTAAAATAAAGAACAAGCACTTTGATTTATCCTCCTCTGACTTCCAACACTTCTATTTAAAATCTTAAGTTAGCAACTGCAACTGTATATATTAAAACTGTTTTGCTTAATCTAAAGATAGGCTGAATTTGCATGATTTTGAACAATCTTTTTCCAGATCTACAAGTAAGGAAAAGATTAAGGTTATATGAGGGCTGTATTAAGAACTATAATTTGGTTTGTGCCACTGAGGAGCTTCAGTGATTAATTGTTGGTGGCAGACTCTCTTTGGGGGGATATAAATGGTAACTAACAAAACATAGTAGTCCTAAAGTAACAGTTCCGGATATGGCAGTCCATGTTCGGTCTTCTGAAAGGTAGCTAAATAATTAAATTATGCCATCTCAAAGGAATTGCTCAGAGTTTTGGGAATACGCTTATTTGCTTTCTTGCCAAGAGTTAGATGATGAGGTCAATATTGATACATGTCTGTATGCTAAATATGAAGCTACAGCCTGCAGCAGTTACCTTAACTTGGCTTAGAACACTAACATTAGAAATGGGGGAAAGAGGCTCATTCCAGCAGTAACAAAACCCAGCTACCAGAACCTCTAAAACTCACTAATTAACACATTATATCTCGAAAAGTGTAAAAGAAAAAGACAAATGAAAAGTATGGTTTCACACAAGTTTATGTGATTTCCTGGTTGCATGACAATCACTGATGACAAGATTAAGGAAGTCACTGTGTCTGGCCAAGAAATAGTCCAGCTAGCTGTTTCTCCCTGTTTACATTCTTTATGCTAAGCTAGGGCTGGCTGTAGCTCCATATTTTACGAATGGATGTGAGTGGTACCGATCTTTGCATCTAACTCTCCACAAGAAAGCAAATAATAGCATTTTATTTCTTTAATATTAAGTTGTAGTGTAGCAGCAAGGGTAAGCTTAATGAAGCCATAAGTCTCTAAACAGAATGTAGACGATGGCTACTGTACCTTACATGCAGTGAGTAGACCTATACAGTACTGGCAGTGGACTCACAGCCAAGAGGACTCAATAAATGTGATTTCACTGCCTGAAGGCACTTACATGGGCCGTCTCACAAAAAAAACAACTGCAACACTTAATTATTAAACCACTATCTCCACTCATTACATTTTCTGCACCATCCGACAGATTTTTCTCCTGTGTTTTCTTATTTAAACTTTTGTTTTTCTTTCACTGGGCACTTCATTTATTGTGATGCCTAAAGGGCAAGACATATCCTGTGGCAATAGCTTGCCCAGCATGGCAACATTACATTTTTGTGTGTGCTTCCTGGAGCAGGTGATGGTGCTCTGTCTACATGCCACGTGGTCATGGCAGGTTATTCAGTGGAGATATATATTCCACAGAAGGTAGAGGAATGGGGTTACGGGTGCAGAATGGATGCACTGTCATCTTATACATTATTCATAGGCCACACTCATGTTCCCTCTGGGTTTTTTTCTCCCTATGAGTTGTGGGGGTAGTGTGTGTGTGTGTATGGGCATATGGGTGCGTGTTATAGGGTCAGTTTGAGGTCTGTTCATTTCCCGCTTCTCCAGATCATAAAAGCTTAGATGGAACTCGGAGAATTGTGAAAATTGTGCTATAACTCAAAGGGGAAGAATACATCCATCTGGATTACATCTACAGTATCAACACCACATAATACATAACAAACAGCAAAAACAGACCTTTGCAATCAAATGTCACAGTCATTTCTCTTCTTTCTGTGTTTCTCAAGTGGACTCTAGAACATGGAGCAAGCGAGCAGGGAGTGACAAGACAGAGGAACGACAAGACCATAACTGTTCTACGGAGCCTCAAAAAGTCTCTGCTTTGGACAAAACCTTTTCCCAACTGAAGGCGGATTCACTGGACGGCAAAACCAAGACTCTCAGCCTCAAAGTAGGAGCCACATTTCAGTTCATATTTCTGTTAGGGTTCTTTCCTAAAATATTACTCTAACTTATTTTATATCACCTACACAATAGGATCAAGCAAAAGGATCCCAAATCAAACCTGAGCTTGAGGTTGAAAATCACTTACTGGAATTTTTCTGTAGCTTTTAGCCACATCTCTGGGCCTTCATCAACAGATTTGCTTTGCTAAATTGTCATGGAAATAGATCAGTTGTTATCATGGGACCGGAATAACAAATGAGCATATATGTGGGGGAGGTTGTAACCTGTCTCTCTTTAGGGATGGACTCCCTGACAACTGAGCAAACTGAATTTAATGTAATTGAGGTCACAGGATCTGACTGAAAGCTCCATAAAATGTCTATTGATTTAGCATTGCACGTCTACATACTATAACACTGTCATTCTCACAGCAGACTGTTCTTCTAAATCGATCATTCAAATGTCGAAAATTGACACTAATCTTCCTTGTTAAAATCTGGCACCTACATTACCCACAATGCAACTCGACTGCCAACAGTTCTGTTAGAGATACTTGTACTTGTGTTATGTTAGTAGAAGCTAATGTAGCCTTTAGCAGCTAGCCTCATGCATAGATGAGGAGCAGACTACAGAGGTCTGGTAAATTCTTTTTTTTTTAAAAAGACATTGACTCAAGTGACATCACTTGAGGCAATATATTAGATTTTGTCCTGCTCCCTCTGGAGCGGCAAAGGCTTTTTACATCTTTACATGTGCAGTAGTTCTCCCCAAGACCTAAACCTAAACAGATGTTGATGTGTAAAAACTTTTTTTTTTAAGTATTATTTTTTGGGGCTTTTATTGCCTTTATGATAGAGATAGACAGGAAAGGGTGACAGAGAGAGGGGATGACACACAGCAAAGGGCCACAGGACACATTTAAACCCTGATCCACTGCAGCAAGGACTCAGCCTTGGTACATGGGTCGCCAGCTCTACCCACTGAGCTAACCAGGCGCCCAGAGTCAACCTTTAAGTGGATCTTGTGCTAAGAATTTACAATGTGCTAAGTTAAGTAAGTTCATTATTCCTACTGATAATATTTAACATATTACATTATATTTTATGCAGGTTCAAATAAGACAATTATGCAAGCCCCCACTGCTACTGCTTTTGATCCATCAAAATTAAGGACTATCAAAGATTCAGTGGAGCGGCTTAGGATGCAAGTACCACAAAGAATGATTCCACAAAGTACAGAACCGACTGACAACCTAAAGGTCAATTATGGAGTCATGAAACTGCCATGAAAAGCTGTTTAGTATTATACTTATAAAGAGCAACTGCAACAGTTTTATTATAGGATATGGATATAGAATATATATATATATATATATGGGACCTTAATAACCTTAGAATTATATATTAGACTATTTCAATTAAGGTTTCCCACACAAAGAATCTCAATGTGTTTACTCTTGAAATAAACATTATCACAACAGAAGCATCTCTTGAGGGGAGATTTTTACACTTTACACATTTTTGCTTTAGTTGGTGTTTGTCACAGCCTCTACCTAGAGGGGGTTGACTGAAAGAAAATCTTTAATAATTACACAATTTTCTTTTTTTCTTTCCGTCTTCCTTTTTTTATTATTATTTTTTTTAGTTTTTTGTTCTACCCACTTATCCCATGTAAAACATTTGATCTCAGGCAGTGAGGGGTAAAGATCCAGTGAGGTTTGTGAGGCTTTCAAAAGGATTCAGAATCCCCCTGTGAGTAAAGCTCTCTTACCTTTATCCCCTCTAAAGCTGAGCATAATATTACCATGTTGCCTACACCTCCTAGCTATTACAAGGCTGTGAAGAGGATTCTCCAAGGTTAAGGAATAGATTAAGGATATTCTAACCCAATGAAGATTTTTTTTTCTTTCCACAAGGATTAGTGTCTATGAGTTATTCTGCAATCGTCCCACCAACAAGCAGCTTACTGTATATATCCCTCTCCCCACCCCAGGAGGCTTTGGAGCTCTTCAGGCCAGACTTCATCAGCCGATCTCAGGGTCGGTTGAGGAGGCTGGAGCAGAGGGCTCTGAGAAGGAGAACGCTTCAGGACTCCAATCCAGACCTGGAGCAAGGCCTTAGGGAGAGTAACTACAAACAAAAGAGGAACTGCACCACACCGGATCCACTTAGTGGTAAGTGCAGCTGAATATCTCTGCCAAACCCTGGAAAAGCAAAAGTAGCCCATTAAGTAAAACACAATGTCATCTCACCGGCCAATGGACTACCAACAAAAAGATTTCAGTTGTGCTGTCAGACCACCAGCAGCATACAAACAGCTCTAAGTTATATGATAAAAGATACTGGGCATTGTGGAAGTGTGATATCCACGTTAGTCATGACAGCAAGCAATTCACAGTCTAGCACATTGAGATAGCCTCCTGGGAGTCAGTCCAAAGCAGGCCCCCATCTTCAACATCAATCTTTTACCATCTGTGTGCCGTTGTTACATCACTTCTGCAGGGACATACACCTTCATCCAATCATTGGATTGTTGGGATGAAAGCTCCTGGTATAAGGTTTTTATAGTGAGAAGTAAAACCTGACACATACTCTGGGAAATATGTAAATAAGGAACTTGTGGTCGTGTCATATTGAAACATGTTGGCTTAAATGAACATGAACATGGACTATGGACTGTTTCTCAAATAAGCTATGTTAACCTCAACAACCTCAGCTGTTCTGGGGGAAAGGGGGGGTTTTACTTATTATTCTCCTTATAGTGTAGTGGCAATTATCCAACTTTGCTCTCTGGTGGCCATTATCTAGTATTGCAGATCAGCTGAAGCATTTTTCTCTTAAAGCTCTGTATGCAGGGAATACACTCAAGTTGAGACCATCTAGAATATAATAATCCCTTGGATGTTTTCTTTTCAATTTGTTTCAGGTTTTTTTTTTACCACACATGAAACAGCCACGGACTGAACCAGGTCAAAATGCAACAAACAAGCATTTGTCGTATAGGAAAAAGACAACATCATACACATAAATTCACAAATACATATAAAATAAAATCAAACATAGCACAGAGACACACCTAAATGAAGACTTGAGACCCAGACATGATGTAAAGAGCAGTATACTGGTTATGAAAACCCTATTTATATGCAAAATGCCTAGGTTAAACCAGCAATTGTCAAAAATGTTATCCAGCAATGTATAAACATTGCCTGTAATTATATGGCTGCCAGTAAAGATGTTTCATAGAAAACAACCAAGTAAGTAAATATTAAACGATCCACAAGTACATTTCTGCATCATTGGGTATCTTACTTGTTATTTTCAAAATTCTTGCAATATCGTTTGACATTCATAAAGGTGCAGATTATAATTTCTGTGCATGAAATGCTATTATATATTCAGTGTAAACACTGTCAGAGTCTTTCTCATCTTTGTTTCATACTGAAGCTGTCAGACTTACAAACTCTGACAAGGCTTTGTTCAGTTGAGCACACACCACATCCAACATTTCTCTCAGCAGTTTGATTCTTTGTCTGCTTTGCGAAAATATGGGATTTTAAAAGCTAAACAGGGAATTTGACTGATTCTCTACAGAGGTTTGGTGATCTCAGAATTTCTTAAAGGCTTTCTGATTATACCAGCATGAACACTTTTTTTCACACATTAATCACAGAAGATTGTTTACAGCAATTTTTCTTTGCAGCAAGCCAACTGTAGCTGACATTTGACTGCTCAACCCTGTAGTAAAACATTAATAAAGACGGGAGGCACAATTCTTCAGGTAAATGAAGGGCTCTTACTTGCTTTTGGATGGTCATGGGGGAGTCATGGAATTAGGAGCCTTGAATAGCTCTCACTGGTGTCTGACTGAAGCTTAAAGTCTAATTATGAACAAAAGAGTCTTCTCAAAAGAGTCTTGGTGCTGTTGAGCTGAGCAACAATTCACTGCAGTTCAATCTGTGAGAGACAGAATAGTCAGACTTAATAGGACTGGATATGGCTATGTATGGTATGTGTGTATTTGTGTGTTTGATATGTGTCCATGCATTTGTTTGTTTGTGTGTGTGTGTGTGTGTGTGAAAGTGTAGGTGTGTCAATGCTCAAATGTGCAACTGTCTGAAAAAGAGAGATCACACACAGCCCTCAGTGTTCATTAACATATTCTAGATTCATTTACATATTAATTCCTATTTGTTATTCATATGTGTTTGTGTGTGTATGTGCATGTTTGTCTGTGTGTGTTTGTGTGTATGTGTGTGTGTCCTAGATAACCTTTTCAAGCCAAGAGAGAGGTCTATATCAGGCAGAGAGATGCAGCTGAGGTCCAGACGGTGAGTTTCCCAGACGATGTCACTCTGTCTCTCCTCGCTCTTTGGTTATTATTCAGCACAATCCATCAAGCTTGTTTGTCATATCTGCCATGCATGTGGGTTTTTGCACAAACACGATGTGCGTTCACACACCCACATACTGTATGGATACAATAGATGTTTGATGTCCAAATGTCTTGACAGGAGATATGAGCTACCCTCTGTATACCTTATCTCTTCTTTTTTTTCTTGCCTTATCTGGAAAGGCACACCTGATCAGATGATGGCCGCCCATTGTAATTTTTTTCAAAAGCGACACTATCTGACTTGGAGGATCTCTTAACAAATTGGCTGTAGTTGTGGGAGTGAAAAAGGAGTCTGTGTGAGACCTGTTTATCAGTGGATCCAGGTTTTTGCCGGCTGTGGTCTCACTAGATAATACCTTGTCTCCAGTATGCCAATCTGTTGGCATAGCTCAGCCACCCTCAGACTTCTGATTCCATATTTCCCTGCCCTGTATGAATTTAGCCTTTTTTGTGTCTGTAGGATTTACAACAAGCTGCCGGAGGTGACAAAGAAAAAGGAGGAGGAGAAAAAGAGGGCTGTATCACAGACCAACAGACTGCGAGCGGAAGTCTTTAAAAAGGTAGATGGGACCTATTTTTAGTACAAAATCTGTTCAAAACACTGATTACTTATTCAGTAGAACAGGGAGCAATTATATTCAAAAAACAACCTTGAAACAAAAGAAGCTTAAAATCCCAAACATAAAAACAATCAATTTATAACACTGTGCTTTAACTGTGTTCTGAAACCATCTCATGCTGTTTAACACTGGACCAGGGTCTCATTTTAAAATCTGAATGCTTTTTGCAAGAAATTGTGTTGATGAGGAGGTTTTTTTTGGAGCTGTAGATGTTAGTCACTGCGGTCTCCTCACATTCATTTGTCACCCAGGAGGTGGGCAGTGGTTAGGTAAAACATTTTATTATTTTTTACTTGCTTTTTAGTGTTGAAAAACAATAATACAGTCCTCTGAGACAATTCAGCTTCCACTAAACTAGGCCAGCAATAGCCGTCTTATAATTTTTGGTGAGGATAAGAAATGTTCATAACAGGTGTCTGCACAGTATATTTTATGGCAACAATATATCTGGTTGTTTGTGATTGTAATTGAATGGATTTATTTATAGATCAACAAAATGGATATGATATGATATGAAGATATGAAAAAACAAAAAACTAGACCTAAACACAAATATCCACACCGATATACCTAATGCAACAAAAATACAGTGCATATTTTGATTTATTTTGGTGTTTTTCCCTAGCTCTTAATTTTTCCAGTTATTGTAATCAAATTAAATATAGATGACACATACTCATTATGTCTAATTTAAGTGTAATTCAAAGGGGAGTTTGTGTATGTAAGCATCATTCATGAGGATAAAATGAAAGATGGTTTGACCATTGTCCAGCAGAGGTCACTGTTTGACTGCTAAACCCAGATCCTTTGTCATTTATCACATCTATCAATAAATACATGTGCATTCAACATTTAGGTGCATTCGTGTTCCTCATATTTTATGTGAAATCTGATACTTTTCAAAGATGGGTGTTTACTTCAAAATCAGACCAGGAAACTCTGAAGAACTTTAATGCCAAACATAGACCCTTACCTCATCACAAGCCTATTTCACTCTCTATACCACAGCCTGATTGTGGCTTTCAGCACTGTAGAAACCAACCTACTGACATGATGCATAAGACCTGATTCAACAAGCAGCATCCACGTCCTCCAACAGTGAGGGACATGTGGTAAATGAATGATATATTTAGGACATGCAGTGTCAGAGAGATCCATTCAGCTTCACCTCTAGTGAGCCATCACTCACTCGCCCATTATAACCTAACCACAACAATGAATTCCCTGTCAGTCAGGTGAGATGTGAAAAATGTGAAGTGTTGTAGTAGTCCAATCTCTTGCAGGTAATTACACAATGATGGCGTCTTCAGATAGATAGTGTGTGTGTGTGTGTTCGTGTGTATGTGAGAGAGAGCGAGAGAGAGATAATATATGTGGGTTCTTTCCAACATTTTATTCAACATGATCTCAAGATGATTCTTGTTCTGCCTCAGGCCTTCGACAATTTAAATTTTTAAGAAAACAGTGAATCTACAGTAAATCAGCATTATGTGGTTTACTGACACAGCCAGCAACTATAGTGCATAGTGTGACCTCAAATGTCTCTGTGAGAGAATATTTTATTTCTTGGGGAAATGGAGCAGGCGCGGCTGCTATCGTGCCAGTGTGACCTTGCCACCTCTCAAATGAAGCTATTAGCCAGGCTCAACCACAGTGAGATTGGGAGAAAAGGAGTGTGTTCCTCCCCGATAAACACTGAGTTGTGTGTGCTTTAGAGGCCTCATTTTTGTCGGAAAGTCTCTAACACACACAGAAAGGTAGAGCGCAGAGAAGAGTCACAGTGGGGTCTGATAGTGCAGGCTACAGGGTGGGTGTTCTTGAATGCTGGCTGAAATTAGATTCCAGCTGTTGGGTAGTACTGTAAAGAGGAGGGTGATTGCATAGCGGGGTGTTTGGTCAGATAGGAAGCTAGAATTATTCCCCCTACCTGGGCTTGGATACCTCAGGGGTGAGGCTGATGGAAGTGAAAGCCAATTTAGCAGCGGGAGTTGCTCCTGTGTGATGCAGAGCTGCTCTTAAGAGATTGAGGGAGGGGAGATCTAAGTGCAGATAAATGTGTTTTTGATCTGTTTTTTGGGGTGAAGTTTTCAGTACCGTTGTTGTTTTTCTTGTTTTGCAGAGACTTCTGGACCAGATCCTGCAAAGATAAGGAGACAATAAGAGGCAAATGGGGTTAATTCACTGACCATTCTGGCTCTTCAGTTCTCTCCATGTATATTAAACATGACTGTGTGTTTAATTCAGTTAATCTTCTTTGCAAATCATTGCCATGCCTGTGCATATGTATTCATTTTCTTCTATTTCTTTAAAAAAAATCCTGTTTGCTCATTGTATCCTGACTGCTTTACAGTGCAACAAAATGCAACAGTAAACAAAAAAATGTGATTTTGCTGACATTGTCAATAAGCTTTTGCAGGGTGACAGGAAGACACATTAAAAGCAAATTTCTTTATTTTTCACCAGTATTTATTTATGTATATTTGATTGACACATAACAACGATTTAGATATTTTCGCTTATGCCAATGGCATACTACAGCAAAATAAGCAATTTTGTTTTTGCAAATTATACTGTAAAAGTTTTTCTGTAGATGAAAATTTTATATCATGCGCAAGGCGATATTAAGTTTGTTTGTGTGCACACACTGACAAAGCCCAACCTTCTCATCCACCACCAACACACTTATAATAAAAAAGTGAGAATGGTTTGGCAGTTTATCTATTAAAGCATTTCAATTGTAATCTGTCTTCACCCAGTGATTAAATACAGATTAATCACATAATTGTATTCATTTCTTTCCTAATGGTTTGATTCTTTACAATCTCATTTTCCCTCTAATGTACCTCAAAATGAAATAAAGGTTTTTTCAAGGACATTCACTGTAGAAGTAGTGTCATTTTCCAGGAAATTGAGTCTCAGTGCTCTGAGCAAAGCACCTTGACTCTGTCATTGGTACAGTACTATAGGTGTTTATAAAGTGGGAGAGGGGAGAACCATGTTTCGTCATTGGCTTCACGTCTGCCTTGAGGCCTCTGTAGCCTCCCATCCGGAACAGTGGAATTCCAAGCTAATCGAACTCAGGAGACACGCAGTGCCTATGAAAGGGGCCTTTGTCACAGAGCTCTAAACCAGAGATGACATTGTAATAAGAGAGGAGACTTCTGAGAACTGCCTGGGACCGCAGTCCACATATAGCCCGTAAAGGTGACTGACATCTCTGTGGCATTTAAACAGAGCCTGTTGGGATGAGGAGGGAACAGGGGAAGGACATGTGCCACAGGTCTCAGACAAACTCACTGTATAAATACATACTGTTGTGGAAGACTTTTGACGAGCAGAGTAAATACTGACAGTGTTTTAAATCCCACACAAAATGCTAAGTTAAATGTTGACTACAGGGTGAATTTTAGTCTGCTGTTCATTCTCCTCCAGTATGGAAATGATGGACCAGCTGCCATGCACTGCAAGGTTCATGCATCCAGCAAGCAACATACTGTATGTAGTAAACGGTATTGTTATACACTGACTTTACTGATGCCAGGAAAGGCCATTTTTAAAGCGTAATCCACATGGGAAAATTGCTCTCCCGCCATGTAGGCCAGTTCCAGATGATAAGCAGAGACTGACAGGCAGTTTTATATGAGGAGAAGGGCTCCTGTCAGTCAGCCTCTCTCTCTCTGAGGCATCATGTGTCTGTATGTCACATTGCTATCTCCGCATAATGTGGACTATGTGCTCTGAGGCCCCCTCGACTGGCTTCCCAATGGCCTTGAATGACTCAGATGCCCTGAGGGTAGCGCTGATATGTCTGGCATAGAAAGGAGAACACTAGCTGACTTTATAGGACTAATTGTGTCTATTGAAGCAGTGCCACTGTATGTGTTTAGTCATTTCACCGCCACTCATCAGAATATCTTGGCCTTATGGACATCTCTTTCTATCAGCGGCTCTGTTTTCTAGGATTGTGATTGTAACAACGATACAAATAGCCTTGCCAATTACAGTCTACAATATTAATTGTATGCGGGCCTTGAAATTAGCAACAGGAAGTCACTCAAAAACACAGATAAAAGAGAACTAATTCAGTAGTAACAAACAACAAAAAATAACTGTGTTTTTTAGGGTGTACATTTTAATAAAAGCCTCCGGAGAGAAAATGAAGATACACAGACATACCAAGACACTGTGGGATTTTAGGGACATAACTAAATCAATGTCAGCTCAAGCAAAGCACTGCAATTTTTCCTTTTCTTTACAGTTTGAAGCCTCAGTGGAGTGAACCGA